CGTGAGGGTGAAGCTGTTGTTATGGGGTCCTTTCATTCCCAGTTGGCTATCTTCTTTGTCCACTTAAGATGTAAAATTGATTTAGATAGAGATCATGACAAGTCCAATGATAAGGGTAGGGTTTGTTCTTCAACTCAAGTTAAGGGTTGGTAAACCGAATGTGGTCTATGGGTCCGCTGGAAACCCGGCCACACATGGGGTCATGGGTTGGTCCGACTAATCATCTGTAGGGCTGTTAAGTGATCGGGGCGGCTCGGACTTAACTCAATTTTAACTCAGTTTGAACTAGCTCATATTATAAAATGAGTTAAATCTAAATAAATTTTGAAACTCGTTACCAAATCTAGACTATTTACGAGACGGCTCGTTTTTCTTCCTAATAAGTAAAAAAAAAACTCATGTCATGTCCCTGTCTATCTACTACAAGTCTACCATGCCAACTCATCATCTCTCTCCCCCCCTCCCCTTCCCCCCTCTTTCCTTCTTCCATGGTTGTTGTATCATTGAATTCTAAATCATCTCGGTCTCTCTCTCTCTCCCCCTTGCTCACCATCACGGCTTTCCCTAATTTAAATCCTAGAAAAATTCTCATCTATGATTTATATGTCTCTGCTATTAGTGATCAATATATACAAACACTTGTATATATTAAAGTTGTATGTTTTTTATGTGATTTAGAGTGATTTTATGTTTAGATTTTTGTTAAAATTTAAATTTATATATTTTTGTGAAATTTTTTGATTGGTACTTGAAATTTATAGATTAAATTTTTTTCTTTTGAATGACTCATTTTTTGCTCAAGCTCGCTCAAATTCGATTTTAGCCGAGCTTTAACAATATTTTGAACTCGATAGGCGAGTCCGAACCAAACTTGAGCAATCTTTGAATAGTACAAACAAAACCTCAGTATAGCCAAACTTGAAAGACTCGGCTCGATTAACATCCATAGTCACATAGTTATTCACGGATGTCCATTAGTCCATTTGGCTGAAAATCATTACTTTCGGTGAAAACCAAAACTCTAATTATAGTCGTTCAAAGATATAATATGATTGATCCGTCAGCTAAAGGCCTATTATGGTTTTTGCCTCAATGACTCTTAAATTTGAGTTTCTCAATTGACTAGATAAAATTGTTATTTATGTATTTTTTTGGCATTTATTAAAAATGGGTTCTAAATCTCTAATTCCTCTAAAGCACATAATAATTATCTATATTACAACGGCTTTGGCAATTGGCTGAGAAATTTGAAATCTTCATGATTTTCCTTGTTCTTATTGACATTTTTACTAGTCAAGCTTTGGAATAAGGCATAATATTGGGAAAAAAAATGTAAATATGGAATACTAGAAGCAATTATATATATCTGTCTACAATATTAGGGGAAGAAAGAAACGTTTTTTGCATGTTTAACTTATCTGTCACACTCTAAATTAAGTATGAGTATGTATGTAGTTTATTCCTAAGTGCTATAACTAGGGGCATACCCAATGTATGTGAAACACACATTCACAATAATAAATAATCTTCCAAAATTTTTGAAAGTTTCTTATTCAATAATTTGGGCCTTTTTCTATTTTAGATGCGTAGATAGAGGAGTGGGGTAGGAAAGATGGTATGTGTACGCTAAGATGAACAGTTAAAGGTGAATGTCCGAAGGAGATTAAGTGGTAAACTTGACTTTATGGGTGCTTGAAAGAGAGAGAAATCATGACACAAGTCCAAACACCCTAGCCAGTGCATAAGACTATCGCTTATGACGGGATCTAGAAATGATCGCCTTCACTTCTTTTTGTAGGAACTAAGATCTCCTTCATTACACATTTTGTCATTGTTTTTTCTTTTCGGTAAATCACCTATCATTGTATTAACGGGAGATCTACTAACATAAAATGACTCCCACTTGAATTCATGATAAATAATTTGTCAAAAAAAGAAAAGGAAGAAATGTGTATTGGAGTGGTTCTGGTTCTCACTCCTTTTTTTTTTTAGAGAGATTGAGATCCCTTTTAATACATTATCTCTTTAATTTCTTTTTTGATAGATTATTTACTATGTATTTAAGTTGGATCTATTGTATACAAATAGATCTTTTACTCGTTAATGATGAATGATCTGCCTAGAAAAAAAATTTAAAAGAAAAATATATTAGACAGGATTTGAGTTCTTAAAAATCACACCCAAGCAATGCACAAGCTATAGTAGCTCATTGGAGCTCAACCTATTCTTCAGTGCCTAGAGTATTCGGTGGGACCTTAGCTTCGGCCTCGACGTATGTGCTGTGAGGTTCCCCTGCAGATAGTTGTATGGTGTTAAGAGACAATGTTTCTTGACGGATATGTAGAGTGGTCTATTTGTATATCTATTTTGTGCACTAAAAAAAGAGTTTTTTGGAAATTGGTATACTAAATTAGATTTATTTGACAAAAAAAAATATTGGGTTTGCTTGAATCTAGGTTGGATTTAACCCACACCAAACTCAATCAGCGCAAAAGCCCCATCAGTACATTTCAAAATAAGAGGGCCTCTTACGCCCTATTTTTAGCCCAACAGTACCATAGTCATCGTACTGGAAAATACCCCCCCTTATTGTCTCGACTCCTTAACCTCCTATGAAGATACGATGCCAGTTGTGAACCATCTTAAATCTTCAAGTTCCGAAAACTATTTTAAAACTGAAGAAAACAAAAGAATACATGCATTTCAAAGCTTTTGAGATACAATTGCCAAAAAATTCTTCTTTATTTTTTATATTTTTTCCTTTAAAATGATATATATATATATATATTTTTTGTGGTGGGTGGATGTTAGATCAATGGTTTATTTTTGTTGAAAAATGTTATATTTACCAAATCTTTCAAACTAAATTAAATGATATGGTACAATTTCTGTTATTGAATAATAAAATATGTTACATCATTTAAGATAAAAATTAGGCAAAAAAATTTGATAAGCATTTTTTATTTGGGTTGCAATCAATCTCAGATTTTTTTAGGATTCTTTGTTTTGCATTGGTGATTCACATGGTATAGTCACAGTCTACCTTGTATGATTGGCCTAGCAATTGTCATAGTCCCCTTTCACAAAACCACAAAAATGTGGAAACATAGGACAAAATACTTTTTGATTCCTCGCTGGCTTCCAATGCTGCTAGTACCTTGATTTGAACTAATGCTACCTAGGGACAGGACATGACATGCCAGTTATGACCACAATATGGCAATTCATATATATATATATCTGTGTGTGCGTGTGTGTGTGTGTGAGAGAGAGCAGGGTTTTTAAGTTGTTCTCAATTACTGTCCAGAATAGGTCAAATATATACAAATAAGTTACATATACATGTTTGTAAGATGTGAATTTTCTATTTAATATCTTTGATTATGATCAGACTTGGGATATGAAAACTGGACTCGGGCTTTCAACAACAAGGAGAAGAGGAGGAGAAGAAGGAGAGGGAAGAGGAAGACCAACCAACCAGTTTCTTCTTTTTTTATTATTTTTGTTCTGTGGGGGGCTTTCAAAAAATTTTATTAGATTAATTTGATTGGATTATGGATTTAGAATTTTCAAATTTTGGAGATATTTTAGGGTTTTTTTGTTGTTGTTGATGTGTTGTTGTTTTTTTTTAATTCTGGTGTTGCTGGTTTTTAAAATCTAGATTCTGTGATTCTGTCTTCCACTCTTACTGTTGTGTTTGCTTTTTTTTTTTTTGGATTTTTATTATTAATGGATTATTATTATTAATGTTGTTATATATATATATATATATATAATTATTTTAATTAGTCGTATCATCGCTGTACCCATATCCTATTTTTTGTGATTTTGTTTATCTCCGTGTCCGTATCCGTGGTTCTTAGATAGAAATTGAAAGACCTTCGTCCCTAAGCAATTGTGCATTACTTTGATTTTTGCCTAGCAGTTTTGGAAATGAGACATACATCTGATTCAAAATCAATAAAAAAATTAACGGATTTAAGTTTAGTTTTTCGTATGCGGTGGTAAAACTGGGTATGTAAATCCTCTATTGAGACCGCGATGACCAGAAGCTTGTACAACAGGCTGCCAATAACAGGTTGAGGTAATGGACGAATGGTCATACCAGACCCGTTCAAAAAAGAGTCCATAGTAACACAGTTAAACACTATGTAAACTTGGCTAAATGCGGTTAATACATCACAAGAATCCAATCCAACCATAAAGGACTGTATAAACTGATTAGGTATGGATTGAGAAAATTTATTATGACACTATATAACAAGATCTATTGCAAACCCTACACGCCAAAAAAAACTTCGAAATTGACAAGCCAATGCCAACGATTGAACCAATGGGTCTTTGGTCTAATAGTAGTTCTTGTCTTGTAAAAACTCTATTTTATTGAGATCAAAAGTTTAAGTCCTCCTCCTCCACTTCCTCTTTCCAAAAAAATAAAAAATAAAAAATAAAAAATAAATAAAAATGCCAATGATTGGAAGACACAACAAAAAAAGACTACTGTTGAAATTTAATACGCTTTAAACTCACAGACAAATACACACAATCGAAGAACAAACCACGAACATAAAACAATAAAAAACAAGAAAGAACAAGATACTGATTTTACGTGATTCGTCAATTTGCCTACGTCCATGAAACTGCAGGAATTTCATAATTGAGAGAACGGAATACAAATGACGGCTATACAACTATACTCTAACCCTAATCATCAAAGTAACAGGTTTTTATATGTCTTGCGTACTGGACTACAAAACACGCCCAAAAAATTTTAGTCACTATTTCCCTTTAAAAAGCACGCAACATTATTTCGGATAAAGTCATCGTCTGGATCAATATACAAATTAATTAGGCTCCACAAGCCCAACAACTACCGCATAATATTATGTCAGTGAAATATTTATAAGCCTTTATAAATCGTTGGTAAGCACCATAGCTGCTCTGGTCTAACATAATAAAGGAATTTTTTGTTCTTGGTTTATCCATTCCTAGATCTTCTCATGGAGCCTGCAAACCAAATGGTTCATGAACACCAACCAAAATGGGAAGGCAAGGCTTGTGCAGAGCTGAGAGGTCTAAAAGCAGAGCAAGTATGGCCACTCTTGGAGGACTTCTTTAGCCTAAACAAGTGGTTCCCAACTCTCACTACATGCCTTCCTGTGGAAGGAGTCTCCGGCCAGCCAGGTTGCATCCGTTATTGCGCTGGGTTTAAGACTCCGGCCAACAATGGTGATGAGATAGTGAACTGGACTAAGCAGAAATTGCTGTCCATTGATCAGAGTGAACTGAGTTTTAGCTATTCAATTGTTGATGGAAACGTTGGGTTCAACTCTTATGTGTCAACAGTCAAAGTGGTGCCAATGGAAGATGGGTGTATGATAGAGTGGTGGTATGAAGTTGAGCCAGTGGAAGGGTGGAGGCTGGAGGATTTGGATTCTTTTATTGGCTCTGGTTTGCAGGTCATGGCTAAAAGAATGGAAGAAGCTCTCACTGTTGCTGCCTAGAGTAGTCAAGTGATCGTGTAAGTTGTGTAAAAGTTGTTTGACTCATACTTGATCTATTTATAATCATGTTATATTATATTTGATTTATGTTGTGTTTAATACATGTTTCCTAAAATCCGTATCATGTTTAGCCAATTTTAGACCGGAGGGTTTGGATTCTTTTATTGGCTCAGATCTGCAAGTAATGGCTAAGAGAATGGAAGCAACTCTCCAGGCTACCATCTGTAAAATCGCTAGTTATATCCAACCTTTTTGTTGCTGTGTAGGGTTGTCAATTGATCGCGTTTTATTTTTAAGTTGTGTTAAAATTTGCTCAACGCATACTCAACCTATTTATGATTGTGTCATGTAACTCATGTCGGGTTTCTGTCATTTACTAGATGAATCATTCTATTAAGCCTAAACTCATACCCGTTAACTGTGTGTCGATTTTATCATCGCTATTTCTGCTGCTTGCTGTCTTTTGCTCATGTGTAGATGTGTGATCCCGGAATGCACATCATAGCATGTTATTCTAAGGAGTGAGATGCGGATTCTATTTGACATGTAATTTAAAAATGATTCTGATTTATTCAGTTGTCGTGTTTTACTGAAATAATTGCGACAACCCACTAAACCAAACCATATGTGAAATGAAACTGCACCAAATAGAGAGAAATCAATTAAATATTAGAATTTTATATTGCTTATGTACTTAATATCAAAGAGTTTATTTCGTGTATAATATCATCACTTTAATTAAAAAAGGGTTCAGTCTATTTCGTAAATGCATCTATGAGTGGTGTAACATTTGATGTTCTTACTCAATAATGTTCTTACCATATCCGAACCAAATATAGCATTAATGTTCTTACTCAATAATCTGAACTTGCGATCTTGTTCACTTATAATATCGAATAGTATTAGACAAATAAGTGGGTGCACAAAGTGTTAGTAGATTGTTTAAAACTAAGAAATTCACAAAAACAAATGGTCAAGCACTTTCAATTATCTCACTCATGCACATCGCAGGCTCTCCTTAAGGTTTGGTTTAAACCAATTAAGTAAATATTTTTTTTTTAAGTTGTTATGGACATGTATAAATACATACCCATGCACGTGGGTTGTGTTTTTTTTTGGTTGAAAATATACTTATAATTCTTTCTCCTCGTAATATCCACCTCAAGGGTAAATATTAGGGATAATGATTATACTACGTCAGTATTACCATATAATAGAGTCGTTTAATATTAAATAAGCAAGTGGATAGGAGGACCCCACTTTTTTTACAAAAGAGTAATGTTACCTGAATTAAAAATTGAATTTGATAATTATAACTATTGATTTTATTGTAGGTCTCAATATTTATTTTGACTCACTATTTATTCAATGTTTGTGATTATTAAGTCTAATTTTTAAATCCATGTAGCATTACGTTTTTCAATAATATTATTCCGACTAAAATTAGGAACAAAAAAGAGAGCTTAAATGAGGTGACAGTTGACTTTGAATGTTGATCAGGTAAGATTAATATTTGATTAAATCCAAAAAATTTCTTTCCAAAACTCAAGCCCTAAATTAAAGACAGATGGGGCAAAATCTACGTCTTCTCCGCTTCCTTAACACGCACAGACAAGCAGAATAAGACGATTCTGGCAAAAAAACGTAAGCATAGAAAAGCTGAGAAACACAAATAAAGGCAAAGAACAGAGTAATTAAGCCAGAAAGGAGACCACGTTGATGCCCTCACCCATAGTAAGTGCTAATCTTGCACTAGCAATCGAGCCACACCTCTAGGCAGTCCACTCAGGGTAAAGTCAGAAGACAATAGGTCAACCACAGCTTGATTTGCTAACCCATCAATAAAAGAATTTGCTTCACGAAAAACATGGCAAATTCTAAAATTCATCAGACCAAGTATCTTTCTAATCTGATGCAGAGTATGCAAATACTGTCAAGCACACTCCATTTTCCCAAGCACCACATTAACGAGAATCACGGAGTCAAACTCCACCCAATTGCATATAAGTAGAAACTCTAATTTTAAAACAACACAACTTCACATGATATAGACACCCAGCACGACACTAGACCTAGTTTCGATTCCTCTGGACATTCTGAAAACCTAAAGTTTAAAAGAAAAGGTTCACGATGGAACATATAAAGTTGAAGATACAATTACTGTACCAAAAACGTTTTAATTTAACCTTTAAATTATGCAACTTAATTTTTAAAAATTACATTTTTCGTGATTAACCATAATATTTTATTATTGAGTTATAAGTTAGATCCTCAAAAAATTGTTATTTAAATGTTATAATTTTCAATACGATACCAAAAAAAAGTACCGTACTCGATCTGTAATTTGTATGATTGATGAAATCTATTGCAGGCAAGAAAAATAAAGGTAAGTCTCAATGTCGCACACCCAGGGATTGTGAAGACTGGAATCATCCGGGATCACAAAAGGCTTTATAACAGGTATGCAAATTCATTGTCCATGAAACAACCAACTACTCTAGCCATCGGTGGAAGTTGCAAATACCAGAAAATATTGGATGACCGAAACAAAATCTCTTTTGGTTTTGTTCTTCCTGCTAGCAAATTGAGGAATTCCACCATATCTCTCAATTTTGGAATCTAACATTAATTCACTTCTTTCTTTGATTTTAGGCTTGAATTTTGTCTGAAAATTTCCGTGTGGGTATTCAGCCATGAAGAGTATTTGCACAATAGACTTTCCACGTCAGCTGCTATGTCATTTGGTCACTCTTTTTTATTTCTAATTTTGGTCAGTGTAACATTATTGTACTCTTTTACATAGGGTGGTTATTATCTTACATGGAGGGTATAACAGTTATACCACGTTAAAATTGTCACATAATATTAATCGTCCAATGTTAAATGAACAAGTGCATAAGATGACTCCACAACGACTCAAGGTAATTTGAGGTCTAAAGCAATAATAATAAATGAAGCTTTTTTATTTTTAGTATTTTTTTTTATGAGAGAGGAGGATGTGTTCTAGTAGAGAGAGAATGAAAAGGAGAACTCTTGCTAATGTTGCCAAGGGAGAGATTTCAACTTTTGTTTTTGTTTTTATAGAGGAGATGAGAGTTTAGTTTCAGCTTTTATTTTTATTTTTTTTAGCGGATAGAAAGAGAGTATGAGTTGGCTTTTGCATATTTTTTTATTTTTTTAACTTTTTAATTTTTGAGTATTTTTTTAGGCCTTACAATTTTTATGAATTTAATTTTATTATGTGGGCTAATTATATACCTAAAATTATAAGACTTTTTATAAATTTAAGGCCTAAAACACAAGTTTTATCTATCACACTGTTGGGTCAATCCTGATGAAGGGATATCTATTTGAATATAGGGTGGTCCATGGACCGGGTTACCCACGGGTTCTGTTACCCTGCCCGAAAAAAATAAGCTTGAAGCCCGATAAGCCCGATAGTTGGTCCGCCCGAGCCCGACCCCAATATCCTTTAAGAAAGGGCTTGAGTTTACTCCTAAACCCATTATCCGGGCCAAAGCCCGGTCCAATAATCCGCCCACATATCCGAAGCTCGAAGCTCATACTCGCCCATATATGTTTTTTTTTTATCAAACATATATGTTTATGTTAAGAGGTGGAGACTTTTGTTAAAAAACAAAGAGTTGGAGACTTGAATGAATGGTAGGTGGTAGATGAGACTTTAATTTTTGTTGGTGACAATTAAGTTCAAATTTTTCAAAACTTTGAATGCGGGTCTTCATTCAAAAAAATTTCAAACATGTCAAAGAGATGTTATTAAATATTATGTACAAGAAAAAAATAATTTAATTACTTATTTTGATAATCTTAAAATTAAAATTTGTTTGACTTCTGATATTTGGACTTCTTACCAATAATTAGGATATTTATGTATAGCTGCTCATTTTATTGATGATAATTGGGTTATGCAAAAAAGAATTATTACTTTTACAAGGATTGAAGATAATCATAGTGCACAAATCATTTTTGAAGTTATTTATAATCAATTACAAATTTATCATATTCAAGATAAGATTTTTACTATTACTTTAGATAATGCAACAAATAATAGTGGGGGCTGTAAATAATTTAAAATGTTATTTAACTTTACCATGTGAAGGTACTTTTTTTCATATGAGATGTATGTGTCATATCATAAATCTCATAGTACAAAGTGGTCTCTATGATATTAGATTTGTAATTGATAAAATTAGACATTTTATTTATCATATAATAGGTTCTGAAAATAGACTTAGGACATTTGGAACTATATGTAGAAAGAATAATTTAAAATGTAAAAATATGATGTACAACATAGGTGGAACTCCATCTATAAAATGCTAGATGTGATAGTTAAATATAAAATTGTCTTAAATGATTATGTTAGTATAGATATCACTATCTCATTATTACATCTCATCGAAGAAGAATGAGATGTCACTGATAAAATGAAATATTTTTTGAAAGTTTTTTATGAGTCAACTATGATTTTTTCTGGTAATTATTATCCAACTATTACACTTGTCTATGTTCATATAATTAGTATCAGTGATCTATTTGAACAATATAGTAATGAACCCGAATTTTCTACTATTTTACATAATATGCAATCTAAATTTAATAAATATTTTTCACAACTTCCTATACTTATTAGTTTTGGTATGTTAATTGACCCTCGATTACAAAAATTTTTAATGGGTAGAATTGTGCAAATGATAGATAGGTGGGTAGGTGCCAACTTAATTGGGATGTACTAATTCTATAGTGATGCAATTTCTCTTCTATTCATAAATAAAATTATTCACTATTTAATTTTTGTCCATGTTGATTATGACTATACTTTTAATTCAAAAATATAATTTATAAAAAAATTAAATAAAATTATATATTTTTTCAATATTTCCCAACAGGCCCGCCCAATAGGTCCAACAAAAAGCCCGCCCAGAAAGCCCGCACAATAGGTGATGGGCTGGGCTGCGAGTAGCTTACCCCTACCCGAA